CTGAACTCAGATTTGCTCAATAGCAAGAAACATTTCCAGGTTTATAGTCTCATCGTCAGCTCAGCTGATTACATAACATTTCAAAAGACAGAATGTAAAGAGAAGGTTGTGATGCAGGTAACATTGAAAACAATTAAATTTTCTCTGTGTTACATTTTAGATGTACCTGAGAAGGCCAGCTTTAGAAGGTTACCATTTCATTGCTGCAGGTTTGTTTTCATGATTTAAATCAACTTTTCAGTTGACTTACAGCTCATAAACCATATTATTAGTGAAACAATACACATTGTGTGACTGAAATTGTATAATTATTCTTGCAGGAAAAGATGTGAAATAGAACTTGTGATTGTTGTGAAAAAAATGTCCTCCAAGTTTTTTTCTTTGTTTTCTGTTATTCAGCCTTTCCATGCAGCCATTTGAACATCCACTCTGCACTAAAGATGGCATCATATTTGATTTGCTGTAAGTTACGCAATCTATTTTCTTCTTCCTTCACACTGGGTGTTACAAATAAATTTGTGGGCAAAAGTACTGATATAAGAGGATTTCTGACATATTATTTAAACTATAATTTTCTTCTTTTTACAGAAATATTGTTCCTTATCTCAAGAAATATGGGAAAAACCCAGTCACAGGAGAAGTATGTAAAATGATTATCAGATAATTCATTACTAAAAGGCATGTCAATTACAGGACTGGTGTGGTATATATAAACAATAGCCTCCATTTGGCATGAAAATATGCTAGGATATTTGTCCGCGGACATTATCTGTTCCGAGAAACGAACAGCTTTCCAAAAGCGTAGCTCAAGGAAATCTGTGAGCTTCGAGGAACAGATAATGTCCAAGGACAAAATATCCAAGCATATTTTCGCCCTAAGTGGAGACTATTGTGTTTATCATTCTTCAAATCTTTTTTGCAACGTGCGCAGTTTTGAAAATTGGGGAATATTCTCGAATATTCCCCAGTTTCAGCTGGGGAATATTCGGTCACATGACATGTTTAGATCAATCGTGCGCGAGCAAGAATATTTGATGAATTATAAGCACTTATATTATAATCAACATTCCATTCTTCTTTTATAGCCTCTGCAGGCCAAGGAACTTGTAAAACTGAATTTTCACAAGAATGCCGAGGGTAAGTTGACTGATCAGTGTTTATTGAAAATGAAAGATTGGAATTTAGCAGTAATTGTTGTTGTTGTCAATTTGTGTCTTTTACAGACAAATATCACTGTCCTGTAACATTCAAAGTCTTCAATAACAACTCACACATTGTTGCTGTCAAAACAACTGGAAATGTCTTCTCATATGATGTAGGTTAAAAGTCTTTGCATTTCCCATGTACTACTTTTAGTTCCTGACCAGTGCTGAATGAATCAGAGGATGAAGAAATAAACCAGTCAAAGGAATAATTCCTTTCTTTGGTTTGTAAACTGACAAATTTGTGGTTCTCTAGGTTCTTTTTGATGCAAATATAATATAAATATTTTCTTAATTTTATCCCTGAATGAGACATGAAGCTTTGTTTTCTTAGTGCCTTCCTTTTGGGTGGGAAAGTGTATGCCAAGTGTATGGTGGGGAGTGGATATAAATCTTTGTCATATGCTTGAACCAGTAGTTTATGTCAAAGAAACTTTAGTGTGATATGGCAATAAAAAACATTAGCTTCTGC